GAGAGAGAGAGAGAGAGAGAGAATTAGAGAGATATGTATAATATATATGTAATTTATATTTTATATAAAATCAAGACCAACCCGCTGCTTTTACTAATAATGATGAATACAGTCCACGGCGTCTCTCCGGGCTGTACTACCCGTCCGTTTTGAAGGCCAGCAAACATTATATCACTGGATGTATGGAATGGAAAGCACGTGTTGTCCATTAGATTCCCTGTCCTCCCGACTCCACACCCGCTATGAGTGATATTCTCATAGAAATGAATTTTCATATGATTTCCATTATAGCCATCAATATATAGACTAAACACTAGAATTAATATACATGTATGTTTTAACATAAAAATTAATGAATCCATTTGTTTAATAATAATAAAATGAATATTCTTATTCTATTATAAAATGTAAAAATATTTAATAATTATTATAAACTTATATACAATACAGTATTTGAAATACCTTATATCATATTTAAATATATCTCGAATTTTAAATAAAAGTATAATATTTCTCAAAAATAAATGCTAACTTACAATCAAATTCCAAAGTTGCATGTTGAGATGAGATAGAATTGGGAATAATTGTTATAAAATGAAAGTACATTCAATATTAGCTATATTTTTAAAATCAATAAAAAAAATTATAACGTTATGTATGATTTTGTAAAATATGTTAATTAATTAATTTTTATCATTAAATATGGTGTTGTGTTGCAAAATATAAACTTATGTAACATAATGTTTACAAATAAAATTATTTATATTAATACAAAATGCAAAATGAATATGATAAATTTTAATAAATAATTACTGGCGATTCAAATATTAACAAACCACCATGATTGTTGTCAATGCAAAACGTATGTAGGTATTAATTAAGGTTAATATGATTCATTATTAGATTATATAAACATTTATTTATTATTAAATACAGGGACTTGTAAATTACTGACATTATTAACCGTGGTTATCTATCAGTGTTATTGTGTAGAAATATGTGATGAGATCAGTAAAGTACCAGGCACAGATGATGAATATGAAAAGATTTGCGTAGACCCAGATTATGTTGATGACATTGATCAGGATGATTTATGTAAACATAATTGAATCAATTATTATAATCATTTATTAATAGCAAATAGGAAAAATAGGAAAGTTTAATACACATGTTTAAAAACTGTAAAATTACTAAAATATTACCACGGGGTAATATTAGAAATTATAAATAATTATTAAATGGAAGTGTAAACGACCAGTTAAAATTAATTAATTAATAAATAATACAAGTTGATAACTTATGCTTTTCTGGATACATTTTGATTTAAATAACACAAATATTATAGTTTAATTATAATTTAAACAAGATCAGTTATCATTAAAAATTATTCAATATCATATGATAATAAATGATATAAATTTACAATATTGTGTTTTAAATAGTTTACAGTATATCATATTTAAAACATCTAAATCTTAAAACATCTAAATAAAAGTATATAAAGTTTATAAATAAGTGTTAACTCAAATTAAATACTAAAATTTATTATATTATTTATGAATTATATCAAATAACTACATCATTGAGTAAAACCATAATAATAACATTGCACTATATACAATTTATTAAGCATAAGTATAAATATCCCTATTTTATAATAGCTTTATTTGTTTTGCTAAAAATTTAGATGATTAGGCAACGTTTTTACTCCAATATCTACTATACTATTCTAAACATAAATAAATTAACCACCATTAAACTTTATTACAGCTACAAACACCACCCACATGGACCGGCTAAAAGTGCTAGCGCACAACACCAGCCAAACTGCCAACAAACAACTGGCCCAATCATCAAGGACCCAGAATTTCAGCACCTAGCCAAACGATTCGGGCGGCGAGCCGTACGTTTCCTACGATGCATGGGCTGGAAATGGGCCAAACAATGTGGCAGGTCCATATTCATATGTGGCATATCAATTGACCCGGTTAATTGCGTACGGCTGGCCGTATATGTTTTTGTTTTTCTACAATCAATATAGACCGCGTAAAAAACAATCATGAATAAAACTGGCATAATGGTGCTTGTGGCCGTGACAATGATGGTAGCCATAATGGTGGTGCCGAGTCAGCAACTACCAGGTAAAGTGGTCGCACGTATGAAACGCTCTACTTACAACGCCGATTTAGCACGATCATTATTAAATCGGGTTAAACGTGATGAACATGAGTGTAACAATGACGGTGATTGCAAAAAATATGGTAAAGTGTGTAGCGCAGTTGATGGAGACGGAGTGAGACGTTGCAACAGTAGGCATGAGTGTAATAGTGATGACAATTGCAATGAAGATGAAAATGAAGTGTGTAGACAAAATGATGAGGGATGGAGAGTTTGCAAAGTTTAAACAATTAATTAAACAATAATAGGCAAATATTGTGTACCATATAAGTTTTAAAAAATTGTTTTTATATTTTGCTGATGTATTTGCTTTATACTATGCTTATTATAATAATCTTTGTTTTCTCAAATAAAATGTATACTTTTATTATTTAAATGTTAAGTTTGTGTTTATTTAAACGTTGGTTTTTTAAATTAAAAGATTTTGCTCACATGAGATATACTTTTAAAACGCGTTTGGATTACAAGTAATCAACATTTATTTTAATCATTTAGAAAATTATCTGTAAATAACATTAAAAAGTATACTTAAATTAAATAAATAAAATTTTTAAAAAATTGATTTTATGTTTAATATATCCACTTGCAGTTACCATAAAAACTTATTTGTAATATCATTCTGAATTTCCATTAAAAAATGATGATCTGATTTATGTAATACCAAATATAACGACCAATATTAATTATTTATACGTCAATCAGAACTTGCAACATTATTAACACAATTTTAAAAATTAATGAAAAATGAACTGTACTGAACTCGTTGTTATGTTAAATAATGCATTTTATTGTTAACTATAGATATGAGCATAACCGAGAATAATGATGATCACTCGGCATAATGATAATTATAAATAAATGCGTTTAAAAGTACATCTGAACTGATTTCTGGATTTATTTTATATATTTAAGTTTTACCTTAATTATTAATAGCATTTTAGTATTAAAATTAGTAGCAACTTGTAGGATATAAGTCTATGGTGTTGAAATATATTACAACTATATTTTAAATTCAAATAAAAATGTAAATCTATAAAACTAGATTATAATATTATTTGAATGAACTAAATTATATTTATTGTCTATTTATCTATATTTTTATTTATATATTTATTGAATACAATATCATATTTCTCAAAAATAAATATTAACTTACAATTAAATTCCAAGGTTGCATGTCCACTCGAGGGATAAGGTACAAATAAGATATCATTTTTATAAAATGACAAAACATTCAATATTAGCTATTTTTTAAGATTAACAAAAAAAATTATAACGTTATGTATGCTTTTTTAAAATATGTTAATTAATTAATTTTTCTAATTAAATATGGTGTTGTGTTGCGAAATATAAACTTACATAACAAAATGTTTACAAATAGAAATATTTATATCAAAACAAAATGCAAAATAAATTTAATAAATTTAAAAATTAACTACTGGTAATTGAAATATTAACAAACTACCATGATTGTTGTTAATGCAAAACGTATGTAGGTATTAATTTGTGACGATTATAGACATCACCCACCCTAAGACATCACCACAAGCAGATCCACACCACAGATAAGACAATATCAATACAATGTTTTCACATTTCATACATTTTTCCAGTGAAAAACACACTCAAGCACAGCAATACATACACACACTGTCCTAATTAGCATTTGACCCACATTTGGACACAAACTCACCCTTTTATGACTCGCCCGAAGGCATCACTTCCCATGAAAACAACTCATTTCAACGCATTTCACCACTCAATTCAACGCAACAAAATGAATATGTTTTTTATAGTTTAACCATATGTAATTTTAATTGTAATTATAATTATACACATAACTTAATTATATAAAACATTATACACATTTTGCCACCAAAATCTCGCGCAACACATAACCCATTCACCCACAAATTGTCACCCAAAAACCATAGCAACTCACACACCAAAATATGTTCTCTTTTGAGACATTCTGTATATTTTCACTCAAAACTCAGTTCAGTTCATTTCAATAAAAACCATTCAAAAGCACAAAACGCTGTCACTTTCATTCACTCACTCTCACTCACTATTTTCAAACGCGAGTCTGTTCCCAAGCATTGACACGCATTCTGCTACTCTGCGTGTGTCTGCAATAGCATTGACCACAAAGTTCTACCGGCTTTTCACTGTCCATTCCACTCGAAAGTTGACCAGCAATTCACCCGTCATTCCAGTCGTTCGCCCCAAATAATTGAGTTTTTCAATCCCAACCGCTAAAAAGTAGCGTCACTCACTGTCGCTGAAAAACAGCGCCAATCACCACAATCACCACATACACGCCGTACACCACCCGAGTAGCCGTCGCGACCACAAAGTGGCCACTCCTCGTCCACCACTGACTGCACTCGTATCCACTCACCTCCACATTCGTCGGTAAGACCTTGTCGTCCTCCAGATTTAGGCCTACATACCGTCGGAAAGTCTGTCACACTAGATTCGAGCTCACCCACACACACCCTCACCCCCTCGAATTTGGCGTCAGACCCCACCGTTGACGACCATTCCCACTGTCAACACAACAAACCCTCACATTTGGCTCGGCCAGAGTCAATAACCGTCACAAATTTAATGTTAAAAATTTAATTATCGTTAATATGATTTATTATAAAATTATATAAACATTTATTTATTATTAAATACAGGGACTTGTATATTACTGACATTATTAACCGTGGTTATCTATCGGTGTTATTGCGTGGAAATATGTGATGAGATCAGTAAAGTACCAGGCACAGATGATGAATATGAAAGGATTTGCGTAGACCCAGATTATGTCGATGACGATGATCAGGATGATTTATGTAAATAAAATTTAATAATTTATTATAAAAATCATTTATTAACAACAAATAAGAAAACTGTTTGAGACCTATGTTTCTAAACTGTAAAATTACTAAAATATATTCCCAAAGTATAATACAGTATATAGTGATTAAAGAAAAGTGTAATTGGAAAATAAAGTTTCATTGTTATTCTGGGTACATTTTCTTTTAAATAACACAAATATTATTATTTTAACAAGATTAGTTATAATATAATTGAAAATTATTTGATATTACATAATATTATATGATATAAAAGAGTATAGTTTTAAAAAAATATTTTATGTCATATTTAAAACATCGCAAATTATAAATAAAAATATATAAAGTTTGAAAATAGTTTAAACTTTAGTTTATAAATAAGTGTTAACTCAAATTAAATACTAAATTAGTTATATTAATTATATCAAATAACTACATGATAAAATAAAAACATCATGAAAACATTGCACTATATACAATTTATCAAGTATAAATAATCCTATTCTATATTTTATTGCCTTATTTGTTTTGATAAAATATAATTAAATGGTTGGGATTTAAGAATATCGTGGCTTTCACTCCAATGATTACTATACTATTCTCATTATAAATAAATCAACCTAAATAAAACTTTATTACAGCTACAAACACCACGCACATGGACCGGCTAAAAGTACTAGCGCACAACACCAGCCAAGTAGCCAACAAACAACTGGCTCAGTCCATGCAGGAGCTAGACAAAATCATCAAGGACCCAGAATTTCAGCACCTAGCCAAACGATTCGGGCGGCGAGCCGTACGTTTCCTACTATGCATGGGCTGGAAATGGGCCAAACAATGTGGCAGGTCTATATTCATATGTGGCATATCAATTGACCCTGTCAATTGCGCACGACTGGCCGTATGCGGCAGCAAATCAACGCTACAGTGTGTGGGCGTATTGGACGGCCCCTCCGACTACAACCCCCTCGAAGAGGTACTGTTGGGCGCCGGCGATAACGACAACCGGACGGTATATCAGCGCACTTTTGACCGGCGAAACATACGGGCGTTCAGCTCACTCGCCGCGGGCTGGGACGACGGCGGGGGCGCCAGTGTTCTACTGGTAAGTATCACACCGGGCGGCAAAATTGCCAAGGTCATATAAATAATTGAAAATCAATTAAACGCGTAAAGATACGTCATATAAGTCATGGAAAAAAGAAAATGCGCTTATTGGCGTGATACTAAAAATTGTTTTATACTTAAAGTACTTAATTTTAAGCAAAGTTGTAATTGTCATAATAATCATCAGCTATCACTCATTATACGACCAAATTTTCAATTTTCTATTCAACGAATTAACTTGATTTTTAGGCAATAAACAAATACAGCCTCGATTTGAGGACCTATGCAACTTTTAATGCCATTACTCTAACAAGCAATTAAAGTGATAGGAGTTGGTGGGAATCGGAAGGGGGTATATCGGGATATAAGTCAGTGTTGGTATAGAATTTTTATCCCCAGTATTTAAAAAATTTTGGTTGTTTAATTTTTTAACGCATTATTTGGTAGGTCTTTTTCGATACTGAAATTGTCCAAAAACCAATTTTTGTGTCCTGAACCTTTTCCCAGTCATTTGTAGATCGTCCTAAATTGTTTGTTTCCCGCATCTCCACTGTATGAACATATTTTAGGCAGATATTTTTGACATCGGTCTCTCATATCAGTTTGACTACTACCGATGGGTGGCGAGCATTGGCTGGGTATTACTGCGATAATCCTTGTTGTTAAAATTTTTTAACTATCACAATCATTGATACTCATTTAAACAATTTTTATCATATATAGTTTTGATTTTTACGGAAACAATTTTGTAAAATACAACATAATTAAATTTCTACAAAATTAATGTTCAAAATTGGTGATGTTCGGAGATTTGCTGGTCATCAATGGAAAATGCTACAAAATTCTTTTACAGTAAAATGATCTTACATTATTATATTTTTACACGAGGATATAATTTATAAACTGGGCACATCATTTA